TGGAGAGGCTATAGAGCCAAGAGCTGACCGTAGGCACCAAATATCGACATGTGCCTGGTACCATGATGAATACTTGACATGAACTGATTCTTTTTCCTCCACCCCCCCAACAAGATTGGTCTTGCCCAGGCTGGAATGCAGTGGCGTGGTCATGACTCACTGTAGCCTCAACTCCCTGGGCTCAAGCAATCCTCCTCCCTCGGCCTCCCAGAGCTCACAGGCATAAGCCACTGCGCCCGGACAAATGAACACATTATTCCAGTGATACTGTGCCACCAGGACTCCCAATTTGCAAATGAGAAACTGAGGCACAGAGATATTAAATCACTTGCTCAAAGGCTGAGATGGGTGGATCATTTGAGGTCAGGCGTTTGAGAGCAGCCTGGCCTACACAGTGAAACCCTCTCTCTATTAAAAATACAAAAATTAGCCAGATGTGGTGGTAGGCACCTATAATTCCAACTATCTGGGTGGCTGAGGCAGGAGAATCTCTTGAACCAGGAAGGTTAAGGTTGCAGTGAGCTGAAATTGTACCACTGCACTCCAGCCTGGGTGACAGAGCGAGACTCCATCTCAAAAAAAAAATCGCTTGCTCAAAGATACAGAGCTAAGGAGTAGGGAAAACAGAATTGGAATCAACCCCATGCCTAACCTATCTGCTTCCCACACATTCTCTGCAATGATAATTCATCCTTCATCTGTTGCAATCTCTTATTTATTTATTGCAGTGGCTTTTTTTTGAGACAGGGTCTCACTGTCACCCAGGCTGCAGTGCAATGGTGCCATCGTGGCTCACTGTAGTCTTGAATGGCTGGGCTCAAGCCATCCTCCCACCTTCAGCCTCCCAAGTAGCTGGGACCACAGGAATGTGTCACCATGTTGGCTGATACTGCAGTGGTTTTTGTGTCTGTGTTGTACACTGGTTTGTCCTCAGTGCACAGAAGAATCTGGAACATAGTAGGCACTCGGTAAACACTGAATGAGAAGATACAGAAATGAATTAAGGGCTGGGTGCGGTGGCTTAAACCTATAATCCCAGCACTTTTGGAGGCCAAGGCTGGCAGATCATCTGAGGTCAGGAGTTCGAGACCAGTCTGGCCAACAACATGGTGAAACCTTGTCTCTACTAAACATACAAAAATTAGCTGGGCATGGTGGTGCATGCCTGTAGTCCCAGCTACTTGGGAGGCTGAGGCAGGAGAATTGCTTGAATTGAACCCAGGGGGTGGAGGTTGCAGTAAGCCAAGATTGTGTCACTGCACTCCAGCCTGGACGACAGAGTGAGACTCAGTCTCAAAAAAAAAACCACAAACAAGGAGGATATAGAAATGAATTAAGACATTCCAGCTTGGCCCAAGCAAGGCAGAAATTGGGGCTGCTGCAGCAAGAGGGAATAAAATGAGACTCCAGGAAGCACTTTCAGGACAGCAGCTCGAATGCAAAGAAGGTGCACATCGCTATGTCTGTCTGTCCTTTTGTCCTGCAGGCAGAAGGCCTCTGGCTGCTCTGGGAGGCACATCTGTAATGGTGGTTGCCTTTCAGAGATTTAGAGGCTGGGCCAGGCGGGGCCTCTGGGAGGGGGCCAGAACCGCAGGGCCGGGTGTTTCGGATAGACATAGAACAGGCGGGTGGTGTCCAGAGCTGGCCAGGAACAACATGGGCCAGCGAGAAAACACAGCTGGGTCCCTGCCCTCTAGTCTGCCGGTAGGGGCTCTGGCCACCTGGCATTTGAGGCTGGGATGAGAACTTGGGCCCTACCTTCGAGACCTGCTGCAGGTTGAAGCTGTCCTGGGTTTATTTATTTATAATCATTATTATTATTATTTTTTTGAGATGGCATCTCACTCTGTCACCCAGGTTGGAGTGCAGTGGCGCAATCTTGGCTTATTACAACCTCCGCCTCCTGGATTCAAGCGATTCTCCTGCCTCAGCCTCCCAAGTAGCTGGGATTACAGGCATGTGCCACCACACCCAGGGAATTTTTATATTTTTAGTAGCGACGGGGTTTCACCACGTTGGCCATGCTGGTCTCGATCTTCTGATCTCAGGTGATCCACCCACCTTAGCCTCCCAAAGTGCTATGATTACAGGCTTGATGTCCTGGGTTTAGATCCTGGCTCAGTTCAGCCACTTCCTGGCTGTGACACAGGACAAATGAATCCTCTCCTTAAGCTTCGGTTTCCCCAGGCATAAACAGGGTTAACCAGAGATCGAGAGCATCCTGGCCAACATGGTGAAACCTGGTCTCTACTGAAAATACAAAATTATCGGGGCATGGTGGCAAGCACCTGTGGAGGCTGAGGAAGGATAATTGCTTGAACCTGGGAGGTGGAGGTTGCAGTGAGCCAAGATTGTGCCATTGCACTCCAGCCTGGCAACAGAGCAAGACTGTCTCTAAATCAACCAATCAATCAATCAACTAACTAACCAACGGGGTTGACAGAACATTATCAGCAGAAGCAGCACCCAGCACTTAACTGTGTGCATTAATTCATCAATTCTCCACCTCCCTAGAGGAATGTTTAGGCCTAGAGAGGTGCTGCTGCTCACCCCATATCACACAGCATGAATCTGAGTGCACCTGGCAGAGCCCCCCCCCACCATGTTTCAAGAACAGCTGTCATTACTTTATTATCATTATTATTTTGAGACAGAGTTTCACTGTGTCACCCAGGCTGGAGTGCAGTGGTGTGATCTCAGTTCACTGTAACCTCCGGCTCCCGGGTTGAAGTGATTCTCCTGCCTCAGTCTCCCAAGAAGCTAGGAATCCAGGTGTGTGTCTCCATGTCCACCTAATTTTTGTATTTTTAGTAGAGACAGGGTTTCACCATGTTGGCCAGGCTGGTCTTGAACTCCTGGCCTCAAGTGGTCTGCCTCTGCTGCTCAAAGTACTGGAATTACAGGCATGAGCCACCATGCCCAGCTAGCTGTCACTATTATCATTTTGAGACACAGTCACTCTGTCACCCAGGCTGGAGTACAGTGTTGCCATCTCAGCTCACTGCAATCCCTACCTGCCAGAGTCAAGTGATTCTCCTGCCTCAGCCTCCGGAGTAACTGGAATTACAGGTGCACAGCACCACACCCAGATAATTTTTGTATTTTTAGTAGAGACAGGGTTTCACTGTGTTGGCCAGGCTGGTCTTGAACTCCTGAGTGATCCTGACCTCAAGTGATCCACCTGCGCCAGCCTCCCAAAGTTCTGAGATTACAGGCGTGAGCAACTGTACCCGGCCCAGCTGTCATCATTATGAATCATTTGGGTGGCTTCTCCCAGGGACCTCAGGGCAACCCGGCCGCTGACATTGTGCACTGCCGGCACCCCCTTTCCTGGCATGAGGACTCAGTACTTCCTCTGGGAAGCACCCCCTTGCTCCCTCAAAGGCCACAGGGCTTGGGTGGGGCTCTCCTACCCCCAGCATCCATAGCTGGGCAGCCAGGGACACCGTGATTGGCTCAGCAATGGGCATATGATCCAGGCCAGCCAATGAAGGCCACCCCTGGGATTTTTACTGGTCCTCTTTGGACTAAGGAACTCCCACTCCACTAAATTGGACATGGAGATGCCTGGAGCAGTGAGGTCACCTTCCTTTGCCTGCCTGAAAGGGAAGCCCCCCATGGTAAACAAGAAGAGAAAGACACCAAGTTAGATTCCTGATGATATCTGAGCACTGAGGCCACAGTGGTGGCTCACGCTTATAATCCCAGCACTCTGGGAGGCCAAGACAGGAGGATCACTTGAGCCCAGCAGTTTGAGACCAGTCTGCGCAACATAACAAGACTCTGTCTCTACAAAAAGTAAAAAAAAATTAGTGGGCACAGTGGTGTCTGCCTGTAGTCCCAGCTACTCAGGAGGCTCAGGTGGGAGGATTGCTTGAACCCAGGAGGTCCAGGCTGCAGTGAACCATGATCGCACCACGGCACTCCAGCCTGGGAAACAGAGCAAGACTCTCTCCCTCTTTTTTTTTTGTTTTTTGAGACAGAGTCTTGCTCTGTTGCCAGGCTGGAGTGCAGTGGTGCAATCTCGGCTCAAGGTAACCTCCGCCTCTTGAGTTCAGGTGATTCTTCTGCCTCAGCCTCCCGAGTAGCTGGGACCACAGGCACATACCAACACACCTGGCTAATTTTTGTATTTTTAGTAGAGAGGGGATTTCAGCATGTTGGCCAGGATGGTCTCAATCTCTTGACCTCGTCATCCGCCCACCTCGGCCTCCCAAAGTGGTGGGATTACAGGTGTAAGCCACCACACCCCACCAAGACTCTATCTCTTAACAACAACAACGACAACAGAACAACAAGATGTTTGTGCACCTGGATCCAGCCATGCCTAAAGCTGTCATAAGGTACATAACAACACATTTCCTTTTCACTGCTTAAACTGGTCTGAGATTGATTCCTGCCTTGCAAACCAACAGCCTTGCGGAACTTTCCCCCAGACACCTCCAGCTTTCTGGATACTGACAAAGTGGCAGTCACCTAATTTCTCTGTATGGTTGCTACAGCCCTAACAGTGACTCACGATTCTCCCCGTTTTGTTGATGACAAGACAGAGACTCTAAGAGTTGCAGTGATGTGTCTGGTGGAAGGCCAGGGCTGCGGCTGGACCTTGGCATTCTTTTTTTTTTTTTGAGACAGTCTCCTGTTGCCCAGGCTGGAGTGCAGTGGTATAATCTCGGCTCACTGCAACCTCCGCCTCCCAGGCTCAAGCTAGTCTCCTGCCTCAGCCTCCTGAGTAGCTGAGATTACAGGCATGTACTACCACACCTGGCTGTTTCGCATTTTTAGTGGAGATGGGTTTCACCATGTTGGCCAGGCTAGTCTTGAACTCCTGGGCTCAAGTGATCCGCCCCCACCTCGGCCTCCCAAATTGCTGGGATCACAGGTGTGCATCACCATGCCCCACCTGGACCCTGGCATTCTGAGGGTCCAGGCTGAGCCATGGGAAGAAAGAGCCCCTCACTGTTTCCCCTAGCCGTTCTCCCCTGCCTGCAGCTGCTTACCTGCCGTTCCGTCACAGCTGCGCTCTGTGATGCTAATCTTCTTCACAACGTGGACGTTGCTGGTGGCCACAGTGGGCGCTGGGCACATCGTCTCCACCACCTCCTGGCTGCAGAACACAGGGGGGCTCTCAGGCCCACCAGGCATTGCCAGGGCCCTCAGCCCTGCCCCGTAAGGCTCCAGACTCTGGGCCCGCTGTGCAGGGGCGCCAGCGGCTGTGCTGGCCACCACCTCTACCTCCCGCGGCCCTTCCACCACCCGGACAGTGTCCACACGGACCGGGCTGTCCGGGGGTGGCCAGGCCTGGGGCTGGGGGTGGGCCTGCCGGGCCTGAGCTGCCTGCAGCTCCTGCTGCGCCTTCTTGAGCTGGGTCTCCAGCACAGCAACCTTGGCGGCAAGGGTGGCCTCCCCATCAGGCACGCCCAAGTCCCGTTCTCGGACCCAGGTGCCCACACTCCGGGTCTCAGGTGCCACTGGGTCCTCTGGGGGATCGGGGAGGTCCAGGCATAGCTCGCTGCGGCCCCAGCCCCCCGCGGGGTGGCCCAGGAACTTCTGGCTCTTGAGCTGCACTGTGAGCTGCCGCTTTTCCTCCTGGAGCACCGACAGCTTCACCTGGAGCACGGGAATCAGCTTCACCTGCTCCTCCAACTGTCGAAGCTTCCGCAGGGCGCCCGCCATCTGCTCCCGCACGTGGGCCAGGTGACCAGCGCTGGGAGGCACTGGTGTGGACAGTCCCGAACTCCGTGGTGTCGGGGGTGGCAACCCCACGCCCACCAGGGAGCCCGTCGAGCCAGCCGCACTAGGGGTCAGGGAGCCCAGGCCAGCGGGTGTGGCCGCCTGGTCCTCAAGACGGCGACGGGCGTCCAGCAGTGTGCGCTCCACCCTCGGATTGAAGCCACCGCGGGTCTCCAGAGCACCATACTGAGGGTAGAAGCCACGGCCGCAATAGGAGTAGGCTGAGTGCCGGCTGTCCCCACTGGCGTTGGAGCACAGCGACTCGGTGGACGTCCACCAGGAGCCGGGGCCACGGGGCAGAGAGCCCAGGCGGGGGCGGCGCTGCACTGCCACACGACGCAGCGTGTGGCCCTTCTCAATGTCGTCCACGTACTTGAGGAAGTCCAGGTCCAGGCGGTAGCCATAGGGGGTCTCCACGGAGTAGGGTGGGTCGGGCTCCTTGGGAGGGAAGGCCGGTGGGGAGGCTGGGCCGGAGGTCCCTGGGGTGGGAGAAACACCAGAACCATTGAATCCTGCTGTCCCCATTCTTAGGGCGAAGGCTGATACCCGGGGAGAGGTGGGTTCACTTGTCCAAGAGATGGGAGCCCACCTGGTGCCCGACTGTGTCTGCTCTCAGACCTCCCTGGGCAGGGCTGTCCCTCCCCATCAGACTCCGGGCGCTAGGCCATGTCTTCTCCCAAAGGCCTCCAGGACAGGGCCCTACTCCCCGCTTAGACAACCCCCTTTTTCTGGTAAGACTCTGCCACCCACCTCAGACCCTCCCAGAGCAGGACTCTGACTCCTCCCTTAGACCTCTAATTGCTGGGCTGTGGGTCCCACCCTCAAGGCCCCCAAGGCAGGGTCCCCTGTCCCTCGGGCTTCCAGGACTGAAGCTCCCCAGGGCAGGGCCCTCTTCCCCGAGTCCCCTGACCTGGGAAGGGGGCAGGCACGTGCAGGACCTGGGCCATCCTCTTGTCTGCAGATGCTCCTAGAAGTCACTTGAGGGACTGCGAGTCAGACAGCCTGCAGCACTGGCTGAGGCTTACCTGGGGAAAGGGAACCATGGCAACGGGAGTTAGGAGTCTGTAGGGGGAGGGGAGGAAATGAGGCCAGCCCCCTCCACAGCTGGCCCACCTGGCCCTCCACCCAGGTCTGGGACCCACTCATAGGCGCAAACCCAGCCTGGCTGCGGAAGGAGGGGTGGGCTCCCCACCCCCTCCCCCCACTGCAGGTCTGGAACAAAGAAATCAAACTTCACTGCCTGCCTGCACATCTGTCCAGCCTCTGGACAGGCTCCAGCTGTTCCCACAGCCTAGCCTCCACATGGCTCTCGGGCTGGGGGGCCCCAAGCCTAATAGGCCCCACCCTTCCTGCACCCCCTCCCATTAGCCCAGGCCCAGAGCTGGCCACAGGGAAAGATGGGGGTTGAGGCGCTAACGGGTGGGGGAAGAGGGGAACCTCCTCTTTTGGCAAGGATCTGAGGAGACAGAGACACAGGGGGACAATGAGAGGCCAAGCATGGCACAGGGGATACCCAGTGATCCCAAAGCTGAGAGCTCGATCAGGCCTGGACTGGGGCAGTGGGGGCAGGGGAGGGAAAGTTGGGGAGGCAGCTAGGAGTGAAGCCTTTCCCCTTTATGGAAACAATTTTCTCTAAAAATAAACAGTTTCACTGCCGGGCTACACAGAACTTCCTGCCCGCCTAGGATGCGTCTGGGCTTGGGGCGCAGTAGGGATAGAGGGCCGGGCGGTGGCCCCGGGAAGTCATGGGGGTGGAGGGGAGGAAGTAAGAGGGGGTGCCTGTAGGCTGCAAAAGGGAGGGACAATCAGAGCCTCTCACTAAACCCCCCTCAGCCCTGGAGGCTGGCCAGGGCTCTTTTGTCCCCAATATAACCAGCCTGAACTTGGCTGGTCCTTTCTGTTATCTGACCTCCAGCCATCATGCTGCAGAGGTCCAGCCCATCTCACCACCAGAGTGGATCCTTTCTGGGTGCCAGGGCAGCAGGTACCTTGGGAGGATGGGCCAGGTAGGGCACCTGCTGGGCATGAAGGCAGGGCTGGGGCTCCAGGAGCAGCTGAGCTGGTCCTTGTTCTCCTGTCCCGTCTTGCCTTTTCTCTTTCGAAGTCTCTCTGTCTCCACGTCTCTGTCCTTCCCCCTCTCTCTCTCTCTCTCTCTCTCTCTCTCTCTCTCTCTCTCCCCCACGGTGTCTCTCTCCCTGTCTTTCCTCACCTCTGTCTTCGCTTCTCTGTCTTTCAGCACCTGGAACACAGGTCACCAATTGAAGGAAATTAGTTTTTCCATTTGCCTGGAGGCTCACCCCAGAGCAACAGGAAGTTGATCGAAAATATTTTCTGGCCACCAAAAAGGGATGGAGAAGCAGGGAGAGAGCGGGATTAGAATAGCTGGGGGAAGTGAGGGTGCTCCTGGGCAAATAGTATTAGTAACAGTAATAATAACATCAACTCTTTTTTTTTTTTTTGAGGTGGAGTCTCCCTCTGTCCCAGGCTGGAATGCAGTGGCGGGATCTCAGCTCACTGCAACCTCCGCCTCCTGGATTCTCCTGCCTCAGCCTCCCAAATAACTGGGACTACCAGCACGCCCCACTACGCCCAGTTCATTTTTGTATTTTTAATAGAGGCGGGGTTTCACCACGTTGGCCAGGATAGTCTGGATCTCTTGTCGCCATGATCCACATGCCCTGGCCTCCCAAAGTGCTGGGATTACAGGCGTGAGCCACCGTTCCCGGCCTTACATCAACTCTTTTGTCATGGCAATTCCGTGAGATGGGCAGTTATCCCGTTTCACAGACAAGGCGATGCAGAGGGCACAGAAAGGTACAGTGACTTGCCTCGGGTCGCTGGGGCCATGGGGAAGTGGCTGGGCCTGAAGGTGAACCTAAGCCTGGTGGGTCCCCTCACTGCCCACCAAGCCACCACCCCCAGACTCCACACCAGATATCTCTACCCATTTCCCAGATATGGAGACTGAGGTCTGAGGGTCCTCAGTCATCTGACCGCCCTCGATGAGGACCAGCGAGTCGCGGGTAAGAAGAGAAAGGAGATGAGAGGGTGTGATGGGGAAGATGGATGTCTGTGACTGAGACCCTTCTCTCGCTATGGGACCCCTGGGGAGCAGGAGACGGGGAAAAAACAGAGATGGAAAGACTGGAGCCTATCAGAGGGGACAGGTAGGGAGCTCAGGGAAGGGGCGCGGGTTTCCCCAACCCACCACCCCAGACCAGCCTGCACATCTCAGGGGTCTTCCCGGCCCTCTTCTCGCCCCAAACTTGAGGGAGTGAGAAGGACCCCGCCCCGTGCAGGGAGGGGGTGGGGCCTGTGGGATCCCCGGCTAATGGCAAACAGCTGCAGCTCCCCACGCCGGCCCAGCCGCCAAGCGCAGGCCCAGCCCGGCCGGACGCCCGGCGGTCTTCCCGCCGCCTGGGGCACGACCGTGGAGGACAGCGAGGGGGGACAGTGCGGGGAGGGGACAGAGGCAGAAAGGGGGACAGAGTCAGTGGAGAGCGGGGAGAGGGAGCCACGACTGGGGAAACGCGCAGGGCACCAAGAATCGATGGGGGAAAGGGGTCAAAGATGGGGAGGGGCAGGGACGCGGGGACAGAGCCACTCCAAGTCCGGAAAGTTTGGACACAGAAGGTGGAGTTGGAGGCAGCGGCTCGTTGAGATCAGCGAGGTCGTGTTTCAGGGTCAGAGGTGGGGGGTAGGACAGTAGGTGGAGGGGGTGCACACTCGATCCCCGACCGGGACTTGAACCCCGACCCAGCCCCGGGTGCCACTCGCCTGGCGCGCTCCGGCCGCCGCCGTCCCTGCGTCCCGCCGCCCGTGCGTCCTCGCGCGCCGCCGCCTGGGCGCCCGGCCCTCAGGGGTGGCTCCGCCCCGCCCCGCCCCTCCTACTGGCCCCGCCCCTCCAGCCGGCCCCGCCCCTTCCAGCCGCCCGGGCGCCCCGGCTGCAGTGGGGGGTGGGGGTGCAAAGGCGCTGGTTGGAGACTGGATCTCACCTGGACAGCAGGTGTGTGTGCGCGCCGGGGTGTCCGGCTTTGTCCTTCCTTCCTCCCTAAGTCCCCAAGCTAGGGTTCCCCCACCGTCAGCCTCCCCCCACCGCCCGCTGTCCCTGGGCTGCTGCGGGGGGCGGAACGGCTCGGCGGCCGGAGGGGGTGGGGCTGGCAGGGGCCCAGCAAGGGGAGGGCGCGCGGGGCGGGCGCGGCGGCGGGAGGTCACCCCTCCCCCAGGCGGCCCAGGGCTGGAAGCGGCCCAGCGCAGCCTTGGCACACAGTGGCGTGACCGCCGCGCGAGAGGGGAGGCTGTACAAGCCCGGGCGCCAGAGCCGGCCAGACCTGGACTGTCATCCCAGACCCACCAAACTGCTGCTCTATGCCTCAGTTTACCCATCTGTAAAATCGAGATAATCATGTTAGCTACCTGATAGGAGTGTTGAGAAAATTTACTAACCATTAGGAAGGGGCCTCACCATTAGGAAGGAGATCCCTCGGGTTAAAAAGGCTCCTAAGTGAGGGGCCTACTTTTGCAGAGCTCTTTCCGGGAGCCCTTTAGTACACAGCCAGCCACTCAGTAAGGATTTAATAAATATTAGGCCGACGAGGTGGCTCACACCTGTAATCTCTGTGCTTAAGGAGACTGAGGCAGGAGGACTCTCTGAGCTCAGGAGTTTGAGACCAGCCTGGGCAACATAGCAAGACCCTGTCTCTACAAAAAAAAATTTTTTTTTTTTTTTTTTTTTTTTTTTTGAGACGGAGTTTCGCTCTTGTTACCCAGGCTGGAGTGCAATGGCGCGATCTCGGCTCACCGCAACCTCCGCCTCCTGGGTTCAGGCAATTCTCCTGCCTCAGCCTCCTGAGTAGCTGGGATTACAGGCACACGCCACCATGCCCAGCTAATTTTTTGTATTTTTAGTAGAGACAGGGTTTCACCATGTTGACCAGGATGGTCTCGATCTCTTGACCTCGTGATCCACCCGCCTCTGCCTCCCAAAGTGCTGGGATTACAGGCTTGAGCCACCGCGCCCGGCCAAAAAAAAATTTTAAGTGAAAAAAAATTAGGCCCGGTGCAGTGGCTCATGCCTGTAATCTCAGCACTTTGGGAGGCTGAGGCAGGTGGACCACCTGAGGTCCGTGGTTCAAGACCAGTCTGGCCAACATAAAATCCTGCCTCTACTAAAAATACAAAAATTAGGGGGACATGGTGGTGCACATCTGTAATCTCAGCTACTTGGGAGCCGGAGGCACGAGAATTGCTTGAACCTGGGAGACACAGGTTGCCGTGAGCCAGGATCACACCACTGCACTCCAGCCTGGGTGACAGCAAAACTCAGTCTAAAAAAAAAAATCAGCTGGACATGGTGGTGTGCACTTATAGTCCCAGCTACTCTGGAGGCTGAGGCAGGAGGATTGCTTGAGCCTGGGAGGAAGAGTCTGCAGTGAGCCATGATTATGCCACTGCACTCTAGCCTGTGCAACAGAGCAAGACTGTCTCTTAAAAAAAAAAAAAAGTGGGCCAGGTGCGGTGGCTCACGCCTGTAATCCCAGGACTTTGGGAGGCTGAGGCAGGCAGATCGGGAGGTCAGGATAACGAGACAACCCTGGCCAACGTGGTGAAACCCCGTCTATTAAAAATACGAAAATTAGTCAGGCTTGGTGGCATGAGCCTGTAGTCCCAGCTACTTGGGAGGCTGAGGCAAGAGAATCTCTTGAACCCAGGAGGTGGAGGTTGCAGTGAGCCAAGGTCACACCACTGCACTTCAGCCTGGTGACAGATTGAGACTCCATCTCAAAAAAAAAAAAAAAAAAAAAAAAAAAAGCCAGGCACAGTGGCACGTGCCTATAATTCCTGCCACTTAGGAGGCTGGAGCCCTGGAGTTTGATGCTGCAGTGAGCTATGACTGTGACACTGCATTCCAGCCTGGAGGACTGAGTGGAGACCCTGTCTCTTAAAAAAACCAAAAAACCAGGCATTATTATTCCCCTTAAGCGTGTGACATTTGTGTCTGTTGTTATGATGTCCCTGGCACCCAGTAGGTTCTTGGTGTCTCCATCGATGATGCAGGATGTGTGGACATGGGGCAGTGGTGTGGACTGTGAGCATGTGATGAGCATGTGACCCAGCTCCTAGTTACTGCACCGCACTGCACAGGTTGCTTATAAAAACCATTTTAAATTAAAAAAGGGAGGAGGAAGCATCAGTGTGCACACAGATGGGGACACAGGGACAGAGGGCCCAGCCCCAAGTACAATGTGGTCACCCCACAGCCCAGTGGGCACCAGAGGAGACTCTCCTCCCAGCACAGACAGCTGAGGCCTGGGTGCCCATTCCTCTAGGTGCAGCTTTGGTCCCTGCGGGCTCAGAGGTCTGCCTTTCGGAAACTTGCTCTGTTCAAGGAGTTCCTGGGAAAGGAATGAAGGTGTGTCAGCATGGCCATGGGCCCCCAACTCCATAGACTGCCCCAGCCTGTATCTTTTGTTCTCCTCGTCCTCCTCGGAGGATCTTTCTGGCGTCTCTCCTGCCCCTGATCTGGCTATGGGATTCTCAGATTCTCTCTTGCAGTCCACCACGGAAGGTATGAATCATCCCCATTTTACAGATGTAGAAACTGAGGCTCAGAAAGATGAATTCATATAGCAGGGAAATGACTGCTCAGAACCTGCCCTGCCTTTGTACACCTGGATGACATACTCAGATGCTGACACAAAGCTGAAGCTACCAAAGCTGGGTGTGGTGGCAGCTCATACTGTATTCCCAGCACTTTGGGAGGCCAAGGCAGGTGGATCACCTGAGGTCAGGAGTTCGAGACCAGCCTGGCCAACATGGTGAAACCCCATCTTTACTAAAAATACAACTAATGGCCGGGTGTGGTGGCTCACGCCTGTAATCCAAGCACTTTGGAGGCCAAGGCGGGCAGATCACCTGAGGTTGGGAGTTCAAGACCAGCCTAACCAACATGCTGAAACTCCTTCTTTAAAAACAAAAACAACAACAACAACAACAAATTAGCTGGGTGTGGTGGTGGATGCTTGTAATCCCAGCTACTCAGGAGGCTGAGGCAGGGGAATCACTGGAACCTGGGAGGCGGAGGTTGCAGTGAGCCAGGATCACGCCACTGCACTCCAGCCTGGGTGACAGAGCAACACATTGTCTCAAAAAAAAAAAAAAAAAAAAAAAAAAATCCAGAAACAAAACAAAGTCCAAGCTACCATCGAACGTGTTGCTGTGTACGTGTACAACAGCCCGCATCCTGTATCTGTCCCGGCCTGCCTCTGTATCCCCTCTCCAGTCTCTAGGATGGGGGCAGCGGGGCAGGTACCTGAGGCCAGGTGGGGCGGGTGCCAGCAGCTGGGGCAGGCGCTGGGTGAGCAGGGGCTGCAGAGCCTCCCGCAGGCGGCAGTAGTTACGCTCCAGCTCGCGGTGGTACTCCTTCTGGTCCTGCCCAATCAGGGCCTTATTTTTCCGTAGCGCATCCTCACATCTGA